CTCTTGATCATACAAAAATTTAGCAAATTACACATTAAAAACAATTTAGCTAAAAACAAGAGTGTATAAGGATTCTAAAATGACCAATTCTGCAGCTTCAATACAAGTATAATTAAGTTAGTTCTATAAAACTGAAAAGCCGAAGCGACACTTCAAGGTCAACCAAGTCTTGAAAGTTGATGCACCTTTTCTGGCAGTCTAGATCTTTGTGAACCCATCCCCCTTCTCTCTCAGAAGTTGTATAATAGTTGTTTTGAATTAAAGTTTGTAATAATGATGTACAATAGTTTAGAAGATTTAAATGAGACATAAACTATAAAAGGAGAACGGTAAAGAGCAAGGTTATAATGCAAGGAAGGTTATATTAGAGGTGTACGCATCTTTTGTACTGCAGTATACTGTCTCTGGGCGGTAATGTAAACACAAGATGGATGTCACAGCCTGACATTGGGATCCATATTTCACATGAAAAATCAATGAAATATTCTGGTCATAGAAAGCTATTATACGAATTGTCAAAATTATCAAGATTAAATACTTTTATCCTCCTGAGAAACTAAAGTAACACTGATGCATCTATTCTTGTTTACAAATTCCGCCCAGAGAGAACTGGTTTCAATATGTACGCAGAGTACACGCAACTGGAATTAACTTTCCTTGCATTAGAACCTTGGTAAAGAGTATATTTTCTATTTGTTGTTCCGTTCCTTTACAGTTTGCCGAATACATGAATTCACGTTTCACTTTACCATTATGTATCTATAGTTTAAATGAAAACTAAGGTACTAATGCTAGGAAAGTTAAATGCGGTCGCGTATACTCTGCGTACATATTTGTAAACAAGAATAGATGCATCAGTGTTCGTTTAGTATCCGAGGAGTTTAAAAGCATTTAATTTTGATAATTTTGAAAATTCATATAATAGTTTCCTATGACCAGAATATTTCATAGATTATTTTTGTGAAAATGGATTCCATGCCAGGCTGTGACATCTGTCTTGTTTACTTTTCCGCCCAAAGACAGTACACTGCAGTACAATAAATGCGTACACCTCTGAAATAACTTTCCTTGCATAAGTACCTTGCATGAAACCTATCTTTTATATTTCATATCTGCAGTTTCCTCGGTATTCAAAACACTGCAGCTCCAAGCAAAATCCTTCCTTTTAAAGGTTTATTTCAAATAATAAAATTCTTTTACTAAAAAGAGTTTTCACAAATGGTTTTATGTAAAGAGGTGAAAGATGTGTAAATAAAAATGAGCAACTGCATATTTATTTGACTTTTTCACTATGAGTTAAACAAAACGCAACGTCTCTGCTATGCATTTAATTTTGGGTCTAGAGCTGATAAAATCCGAATTTGAAACTATCAAACCCGCGAAATATGACTCGTTCAAAGTAATTCTTAAAGAAGAGCATTTCTAATCGTGAACCATAATTAAATCATCAAATCTTTTCTTTTTTTACAAATTCCCAAAACAAATTGCATTTAATTTTTCATTTTATAAGAGGTTTAATTTTTTTTTTTTTTTTTTTTTTCATACTGTACAAAGAGAAGATAGTATGTATATGAAGTAGTAATTTCTTTTTTTTGTTTGTATGTCTGATCATAACTCATGAACCCCGACCGATTTGATTAGGGAACTTGGCTGAACCACGGGAATGTTTAAGCTTGGTTTAATATCCTAAGTTGAGAATTTGTCGAAAAAATATCTTAGTTTCCAGGCAATGCTGGGTTACTGTACTAGTAAGCTATATCTATGTACGTATTTAATCAGGTTATGTATCACATCGTCTATGCGCAACCATCTAATGAACTTCTGGCCTACTATAATTTCGGACCTACGCCAGTTGTTTATTTTTGTATTATTTGAGAGCTGATTCTAGGACAAGCTAGGAGGCCGAGCACCGCGGCCACAAGTCCATCTAGCAACTGTAAAACCCCGTGCTAGTAGATCGGATGAGTGGCATGAGTGGTATAACGGATTTGGCGTAGGTCAGAAGTGGTGTAAAGCGGATTTGCAATGGTAAATATTTGCAAGTACGGATAGCAAAAAATATCAGTTTTAAGTTTATATATATTTCAAAAGAGGAATAGATAAAATAATTGTTAAAACGTATTTGTGCATCTTCAATCTTCTTTTAAATATTCCTAACCAAAAAATATATTTAATTTGAGAACTTCTGAAACCAAACTCCAGTTCCTTATATGCAACTTGAAATATTTAAGAACTTTGATGTATATCAGGCTTTTAACAGATTATTCTGATAATTTGCAATTTTAAAGGGACTGTATGCAAAATATTAAAGAGATCAGTGACAAAATCTACTTAATTATAATCGACAATCATTCGAAGAGATTCGCCCAAGGTTACATCGATCTATTAAAGGCGCCATAGTTTGAGTTAAAAAAAAAATAAATAATAATTTGTGAAGACTGAAGATTTTAGAAATTATCAAACTACCTTTCATTTTTTGAGAACACTCCCTTTAAAGGAACTAATCTTAAAGTAAACCTGTCGTCTAATTTGCATGGAATATTAATTTGATGATACATAATTCAATTTGAATTCGGGATTATTTCTTATCATATTTCCAATATTCAATTTTAGAAATTTATGCATGCGGAATACTTTTATTATCAAATAATTCTAAACATAAATTAAACTTTTTCCTCATTTTATGTTTCAAAAATACTTCTTTTCCGACTGAATCATTAAAACGCTAGATCTTACAGCTAGACTCTGAACACTGCAGGGGTATATGAAGGCCAGACTCAAGTTAGATTAAATTGTACGATGAAAATAAAGTGAAACACACTAACTGTGCACAAACAAGTTGATTTTCTATTTAAGTTGGATAAAATTAATATCAAATAATACACAGGACCATTTATTAGTATGGTAGAGATATGGCATTACAGAGAACAAAATTGTCAAAAAAAATGTCTACATCCAGACAGGACTAATTAGGTGCTTGATGATTAGAACACACTTGCGTAACTAAGAAAAAAGCATATATATATTGTATGCTAGCCGAAGTACCCAGCGTTGCCCAGGATTATATTTTATTCATGGTCAAAGTTACTTTTGCTGTTTACCCGCGCTTGGTCTTAAATCATGATTTTAGCTAAAGTTCCCGGCGTTGCCCGCTGAATTTACAAAAAATTGCAACTTTGTACTCATTTCACCCTCAGGGTATATCCATAGTCCCCTAAAAATGTTTAGCTAATTCGGTTCAGCCGTTTAGCCTGCATTAGAGCTTTATTTTATTTCTTTCAGATCCGGTTTGCCGGCGTACAAATCAATTTTATCAAAATTCTTTTTTTACCATTTTCCCTGAAAATCTCGAAGTTTAAGTGTAAAGAAATACTTTATTCTATTTTAAGCTTTAAATGGAAATTTTTGCAAAATGGAAAATTGTGAAAATGTTTTATAAAAACACTTGTTGAATATTAAATAAGCTTTTGAATAATGTCAATTTTAAACCAATCGAAAATAGATATCTATATAATAAAACAAGACATTTGTATATTTATATGTTGCCTATTGCCGGCCAAACGGCTAGACCGATTGGGCTGAAATTTTTTGTGGACACTCATGGGTGGTCTAGGGGTGTTATAGGATAAAAAATTTAAGCATTTTAATTTCTAAATTTTTTTTTCCACGGGCAACGCCGGGTCCTTCAGCTTGTGCATATATATATATACTACATATCTACATATGTATAATATTGATTAAATGTAGAGAAACAAAAAAATAACAAAAAAATTCCCCCCCCCCCCCTCCTTCCCTTGAGATTCAAGTAAAATAAGATTATAAAGTACCTAAATAGACTGTGAGACTCCGATATCCTGTTTACAAGACGGGGTGGAGGGATCGAAGGAGGGAGGAGGAAGGAAGGAAATGGTGAGGGGGGGGGAGGTTATATTTTTCTTGTTAATTAGTTTTAAAAAGTATTATCAAGAACAAAAGTTGAACTTTAAGACACAAGGAATTGAGTTCTTTTCTATAATACATTTATCCATGCAACCTGATGGTGTAAACCTTTGATATTATAGTTCATAGTTAATAAAGAATAGGTTAAAAAGATATAGGGATTTTAAATCAGAGGTTGTGGCAAGAAATTTTCATTACTGAATTCCATTTTTTTCCAGTAAACAGTCCAACCAAGTATACATTCTTAAAATATTTTCAAAATCCACGAAATTTACAAGACACTTCTGGCAAAAACGCAACGGTTATGGACAGAAAAAGTGTAAATCATCTGGATCCTCGAGAACATCTTTCAGCGTTAAAATTAATAACTTAGATGCGTTCCTAATTATCACCCAATATTGGATATTAATATTTAGTTCAAATAAAGGCAACAATCCCTTTAAGAAACTATGCTTGAACAGTGAACAATCCCTTTAATATTATGAAAGTATANCTATTTCAAGGTTCGGTGTTTTAACAATTATGTAAATGTCAAATTTCTTTTCAAAAGATTAATTTGAACTGTCTTCTCCATTTCTTTTTATACCCAGGAGTTGATACAGTCAAGGACCTCATTTGATTTTGTCTTGGGGATTCAGTAGAATTCAGGGGAACTTAAAGTGGATTCAGGGGGAAATAAAGTGGATTCAGGGGAAATTAAAGTGGATTCAGGGGGAATTAAATTGGATTCAGGGAAAATTAAAGTGGATTCAGGGGAAATTAAAGTGGATTCAGGGGAAATTAAAGTGGATTCAGGGGGAATTAAAGTGGATTCAGGGGGAATTAAAGTGGATTCAGGGAGAATTAAAGTGGATTCAGGGGAAATTAAAGTGAATTAAGAAGGTGTAGAATCTAGAACTATAGAGATCATAGGATATACAAGTTAAGATTACGGAGATATTTAATATAGAGCTAAAAGATTACAGGATTAAAAAGTTAGGATTAAGAAGTAGGTTTAAGGAGATATTGGATCTAGAACTAGGAGATTATAGGATTAAAAAGTTAGGATTAAGAAGTTAGGTTTAAGGAGATATTGAATCTAGAATTAGGAGATTAGAGGATATAGAAGTTAGGATTAAGAAGTTAGGATTGGATTATGGAGATATTGAATCTAGAAAGGAGATTACAGGATTAAGAAGTTAAGATTAAGAAGTTATGCTTAAGGAGATATTTAATCTAGAACTAGGAAATTATAGGATTAAAAAGTTAGGATTTAGAAGTTAGGTTTAAGGAGATATTAAATCTAGAACTTGGATTAAAATACCATTTGAAGAATGTATTTAAGGCATAAACCCAAATAAAACCTTCAAATTGTTGTTTTAAATACTTTTTCATTCAAGTGTATTTGTTTGTGTGTAACCCTCTATCACCGCGGACTAACCAGGGCGAGATGATTTTTTTTTCAATTTGATAATTTAATTTGTCTTTAAACAAATATGGCGTTTTCCTATCATACTTTTTTAAACGCAAATGCCGACAAAAATTATAAAAGTAAAAGTGGTGAAAAAAATACGATAAATAGGTTAAATTGTGTTTGAACGTCATATATCTCTGGGATAAGAACCGAACGGTTAAATCCGCGTCCTATGATCCTAATAATGAAACTATGGGATGAATTCAAAAGATTTAAAGTTTATGAGGAACATTTAGATCAGATTAGACAAAAACTTTTAATTTCAAAATCTTTCTTTGAAAACTTTCACATTTTTGCTAGAAATTGATGAAGGTTTACCTGGTCTTATAGATCTTGGAGTACAATAATATTCCTCTTCTGTTAATACTTTTGTATCAGAGTCCAGAGCTTTTCGTTCTTCATTAGTCGATCTTATTTTTTCAGGATTGTTTAGATTCGCAGCAAAATGAGTATTTTCTCCGAGATCAAGTTCGGAAATTTTAACAAATCCATTCTGAGTGTCAAAACTAAACTCTTCCCAGTTCGGGGGACTAAATAGAATGTCGTCTTCAAGTTTTGTTTTAGTTTTTTGGTTGTTAAGTAGTTTTTCTTCTTCGAGTATTCTGTCAATCGCGGCGTTTTTCTTTTTCGGTGAATTTTGTGTTTCTTTTCCTTTTAGTTCGTGTTCTGCAATATGCTCTTTCTTTAAATCTTCTTCCTGATCATTTATCATTTTTATTTCAATACTTTCATCAATCTTAGAAAATTCTTCCATTTCATCCTCATCCTCGTCCTCATCCTCTCCGCCCAGGCTTGTAAGGATATATATCTGCCGTGGCGGAATAAAGTCTAGTCGGGGCGGAGGCAGATATTCTGGTTCATGAAATATCTCCTAAAATGGCGGAGATATCAATGAAATATTTTTAATTTAATTTATTAATCAGCGAATGAAAATTATTTGATAAGAATATACAATATTTATATAAGAATAAAGGATTTTTGGATCTTTCCTTTAACACTTTATTATGTATTTATTGAACACAATTCAATAATTACCAGAGTTGAACTTTGCTCCGTGGAGAACATATCGTAGAATTCATCCTTACTCCGGGATACATTGGAGAGCATTGAGACAAATCCGTTCCCTCCTTCATGTGAAATATATGAGGGATTCCCTCCTCCTTCTCCTTCTGCTGAACCAAGAGAGGAGAAAGCTGAACTCTCAACATACCTGAGAAAAAAATTCTATGATTCCGAGTCGAGAGTAGAGAACGAAAAAATCGATACAGGTTCTGGAGAAAAGAACAAAAAATGAGTGTGAAGACGACATGTCTGGGAACGAGTATTTAAATGGATTACCAAACCAAATAATTTCGGGTAAAGGTCAATTATAGACGAGATACTGACATGATGTCAGGGATTTAGAAGTCTGCAGAGCCAATTTTTAAGTAACTATCTCAACAGGAGGATGATCTAAGAAATGGTAACGATGCCTGCACCGGGATCTGGAAAGGTGTTTCCAGCCGCAAACTATTACAGGACGGTTCACAGTACTGAAAGTGAGTTTTTTAACGGGAAATATTGAAAATTTAAGCATTCACACAATTATATTGTAGTGATATTTTTTTAGAGATTGAATTATCGGTTAAAAGAAAAATTTGTGTTTTTAACGAATTTAGATGACATGACGTTTTCCAATATAGTTTGTAAAATGCATGCTTTATTTGACCGTCACGCCATCGTTCAACGTAAGTTTTTATGGCTGTCGTGCCCATCATTCAAGTTAGTTTTTAGAAATATTTACTCCAGATCATGAGGATTAAAGAAATGTTTACTTCAGATCATGAGAATAAAGAAAAGTTTACTCCAGATCATGAGAATAAAGAAATGTTTACTACAGATCATGAGATTAAAGAAATGTTCACTCCAGATCATGAGAATAAAGAAATGTTTACTCCAGATCATGAGATTAAGGAAAAGTTTACTTCAGATCATGAGATTAAAGAAATGTTTACTTCAGATCATGAGATTAAAGAAATGTTCACTCCAGATCATGAGATTAAAGAAAAGTTTACTCCAGATCATGAGATTAAAGAAATGTTCACTCCAGATCATGAGAATAAAGAAATGTTCATTTTTTATTTCAGTTTTCTGAGATTCAAATTTGAAAAATAAGTTTACCTCAGGTTTATGAGATAAATGGAAATTTTTAATTTTAGTTAAATGAAAGGAACTGAGTTTTTGCCACAAACTAAAATCTTCTGATTTCAATATCTTTGCAATCTTTTGATGAAAACCTTCGATATTTCAAACTAAGATTATTTTATCTATAGTTTGAAATATCTAAGGTCTACGACATTGGGTTACAAAGATATAGAGATTAGAAAATCAGAGTTTGTGGCAAAAACTCAACTCCTTTGAGAATATACTTACTTCAAGTCTATGAGATTTCGGAAAATAAACACTAAAGGTTTAAGATTCATAAAAATGTTTCCTTCAGGTTATATATATATATATATATTTATACAGGATTCAAGAAAACATTTTTCTACAGGAAAATAAGATCCAAGTTAAGAGCATGTCTACTCCAGGTTTATGACATTGAAGAATAAGTTTACTCCAGGCTTATAGGATTCAAGAAAAGGTTTACTACAGGTTTATAAGATTCAAGATTATGTCTAGGTCAGAGAACTGGCAACGGGCTTAATCTTGGTCTATCAGAGAACTGGCAACAGGCTTAATCTTGGTCTATCAGAGAACTGATAACAGACTTACTCCAGGTCTATCAGAGAACTGACGACAGGCTTACTCCAGGTCTATCAGAGAACTGACAACAGGCTCACTCCAGGTCTATTAGAGAACTGACAACAGGCTTACTCAAAGTCTTTCAGAGAACTGACAACAGGCTTACTCCAGGTCTTTCAGAGAACTGACAACAGGCTTACTCTAGGTCTTTCAGAGAATTGACAACAGGCTTACTCCAGGTCTATCAGAGCACTGACAACAGGTTTACTCTAAATGTTTCAGAGAACTGACAACAGGCTTACTCAAGGTCATTCAGAGACCTGAGAACAGGCTTACTCTAGATGTTTTCCAGCCGTGACTATTTCAGGACAGATTCGAATTTTTATAGCAATACTCTCTCTGTAGTTGTTTGTAGTTTGTATAGAATACTGAATAGTAAAAATTTTTGTTCATATCTCAGGGTCCTGTTTTGGGTTTTTTTCTTGCTCGGAACTTGGAATCGTAATTTTTCGTGAAGTACTCCCAATTCTCAAAACGGAGCGAAAATTATCAAAGCTATAGCGTCAATAATTATTTTTAATCTTGTAACATATATTTTTTCTGACATAATTTCAGAAATGTACAATTCTGTTTATCTGTCTTTATTTCTACATTTATTGTTCCTTGTAAATTTTTGGTTTTTTTGCTTTGCCGAATCATTTATTATTTATTAATTATCATTTATTATAACAATATTGTATCCGAGTATCATTTATTATAACAATAATTAACTATATTGAAAGCAGCAAGACAGGTTTAAACTTCAAATAATTATGTTTAATGAGGTGAAAGTCGTCTTTTCAGGTTCATCCTTAGAGGGTAGCCCGGATAAACAGAGAGTTAAATATCATAACTCCTTGACCTTTTAGAAATAAAAAAACCTTAATTCCAAACCCTCTTTTTAAAATTTGGAACCAGTCCCTTTATATTTAAATTTACCTTGTTAAGATCCCCATTCGTTGTGTATGACTCTCTAATAAATACTTATATTAATATCTACAGCTGGGGAACAATAAAAATGTCAAGTTAAGAATTTTATAATTGTCCGATAAACATGAAACCCAGAAATTGTGCAGTTTACAGAGTACACAGATTTATTTAACTTTATAAGTTGATTTTTAGGCTATTGATCAAACTCAAGTACAGTACGTCCCACGGAACATGACAGTAGCAAGACGACTTGAAAGTCATCTTAGAACTTTGAATTTATTTGGGACTTTCAGTCTTCAACCTACTTTTACATGGTTGAATCTTGAAACAATAACCACAAAACTCTCCTAGTTCTGGCATTTCCAAAATGTGGTCTGCCTTTTTTGTGCTTTTAATATTATTGAAGATATTAAGAATTAAAAATTTCGTCCAGATTTCCCTTTTATCAATTAAAACCAAAATTGTCGAAATAGGAACGAAATTCTTAATATCTCTGGAAATACTGAAAGCAAGGCAGACCACATTTTGGAAATGCCAAGACTAAGGGTATTTTTTGATTTTTAACTTAGAATTTTACTTCTAAAATTAGGTTTACGAATAAATGCCACAAATCATTTCAAAGATCAAAGACGACATTCAATTCGCCTTTCTACTTCACGTTTCGTGAAACACCCTGTACATTAAATACAAATAAGATTGCTTAAAATTTCGCCTTCCTATTCAACAGTTTAAGGATCCAAGTTTATGTTTGCAAATACATCCGCAAAAGTATCCTGAAGATAAAATTTTTGAGACAATTCATGAAACAGTAGTTAACAGTAGTTTGAACCATATATTAATGTCTAAAATGTTAGTCCAAAAACACAAATTATAAACCCAATCTTATAGACCACAAGGCCCTATCCTTCTGAAATTTGTTTATCCTAAACAAAAAGAAAAAAAATTATTTTTAAAAGTAAAAACTGCAACAGACGGAAAATGCAATAAAATGCAAATGTTCAAAATAAAATTAATTGTTTCTCTTCTCATAAAACCAATTTCAATATATAAGAATAATAATATTGAAACGAAAACTAGTTTTCTTCTAATATTTCTTCAAACTGTAATCAATCCCTCGATGGGACTGTAATCAGTCCCTCGAAGGGTCTGTAATCAGTCCCTCGAAGGGTCTGTAATCAGTCCCTCGAAGGGTCTGTAATCAGTCCCTCGAAGGGTCCGTAATCAGTCCCTCGAAGGGTCTGTAATCAGTCCCTCGAAGGGTCTGTAATCAGTCCCTCAAAGAGTCTGTAATTAGTCCCTCAAAAGGTCTGTAACTAGTCCCTCAAAGGGTTTGTAAGCAGTCCCTAGGAGGATCTGTAATAAGTCCCTCGGAGGGTCTGTAATCAGTCCCTCGAAAGGTCTGTATTCAGTCCCTTGAAGGTTATCAGTTCCTCGATGGTAATCAGTCCCTCTAAGGGTCTTTAATCAGTCCCTCAAAGGCAATCAGTCCCTCGAAGGTAATTGGTCCATTTAATTTTAAGTAAATCACGAGTTGCATATTAGATTCACAATGGTACTCTTTAAATCTTGGTATTGTTAAAATGATGAAGGTATCCTTGTTTTCAAATCTGAAAATTGTGTATCTTCAATCGGGGTTCACTATGAAAGGAGTTTGTGGATTTAAGCAGTGGAATAGAAGAAAAAAATGCAGAGAATCATAATTATCCTTCTCTCATTGTAATCTGATAATTGGTTCTAAAGAGTGCTGTTGTGTATCGAACATGCAACGAGGGTTCTTCTGAAAAACGTTGACAGTCCCTTTAAAATAATTCATTTACACTCATAGCGCCTTTTAAAAAAAGCAAATATTTAAAAAAAAATTATATCTTGTTTTTGTAAATTACCAAAAAAGAGTAATTAATGAAACTAATTTACTAACTAGGCCTCAACTTCTAATTGTTGCTCAATCCTTCAGCATTTTCTCTTCGATAAAATAAAAATAAAATTTTTACGGATTTACAATTTTTTTTTGTGGAAATCCATAAACCTTTCTTTGGGTCATGCAAGGTCCCACACAAAATTTGGGCCTGATCGGTTTAACTTTTTTGGCGTTTATTGGATACAAACACCCTGACATATAGACAAGCAAAGTGTATTTTCTCATAATAAAGTATTCCTGTATGTATTTTATATATCTCAGGAGGAAGGTAGGACGCAGCTTTCCCAAAATGATCTAATTCTTCTCCTAAAACAATTTTGCAGATGAAGTTCTATAACAATCCTTTTTTTGAAGAAGATAAAATTCAAATTGTCAAAATAGTATGATTGTCAACATACCTTAAATATTTAAAACTATAGTCAAGAAAAATTAGTCTAAGTTTGAGACATCTCTATACCATCAGGTGGCAAAGATATAAAGAATAGAAAATGTGAGTATGTGGCAATGACTCAAATGTTTTTAAAGTTTAAAATAATATTCAATTATGATAAATACAACTAAAAATAGGTGTGCAAAATGTTTCCTATTAAAGCTTCATAAATCTGATCTACGTCCTGGTCGGTTTCCCCTTCTCCTAGTTCATCATACAGCTGGTTAAACTTGTCCAGTACTCCGTCCTAGTATGGAGAAGGTTTTAGTTTATATTCCGTTCTTCTTTTCTTTCTTCCGTTGCTTTCTTGTTTTATAATTCCTTCCTTCTTCTTTCCATCTTTCGCTTCCATTAATTTCATTCCCTTCTTCCCTTCCCAAAATTTCTTTTCCTCCTTCCTCTCCATAAATTTTTTCATCCCTTCCACTAATTTCTTTCCCTTCTTTACCTTATCTCTTTCCCTTCCATTGATATCTTTTACTCCTTCCCTTCAATTAATGTCTTTCCCTTTTTCCAATTTATGTCTTCCTCCCCTTTTTATCCTTTTCCCTTCTTCCCACCTTTCAAATCTTATATCTTCTCCTTTTTCTTTCTCTTCGATATTTCATTTCATTCTTAAATTTTACCCCCTTCGTCTGATTCTCCCTTTCTTCTCAACCTTCCCTTCCCCTATACGGTTGTACCTGTTCATTATTGTGTTCATCAACATATCCTCCGTACACGTTCCAAACATATCCCCCCCACACACACACTTGTACCTGTACATTATTGTTCCCATCAACATCATCTGTACACGTTTCAAGCATATCTGCAACATGAAAAGGTGCATGAGTTCAAAGGAAACCCATTAAAAAAAACTTTTGCTGAAGCTTTCAAGTAGGAATAAAAACAATTGTTAGATATCAATACTTTAATTTTACGGCAATTTTATTTAGTAATTTTTATTCAAAATCTTTTAATACCTTCAGACATGTGTAGACGCCCCCAAAAAAACTTAGTTCCTTTAGCGATACTCAAATTTTTTAATTCCTATATATTTGCAACCTGATGGTGTAAGTCTTTTATTTGATTTGATTGAACTTAAATTATTTAATCTAATAAAATTGTAATTTGAAATATTAAAAGTCTACGATTACAAAGATATAGGGATTAGAAAAACAGAGTTTGTGGCAAGAACTCAGTCCCTTTCCGGGCTATTGCGGCTTATATAACTTAGTTTTATTTTATCTTCCTCACAGAAACTAAACCAACTTTTTAATGTGAACAGGTTTTTATGACCTGGGTCTAATACTTAACTTAATGTCAAGATCTATAATTTGAAGTGAACTGCATAAATGCATTAATAAATCAAAGGAGAAATAGATGAATCAGGAAATGTGTATATAAGATAAATAAACGGAAGCATATATTATAAATCATAAAAGTAATTTATAAATAAATAAAAAGTTAAATGAATAATTAATGAATAAATAGATAAATTAATAAATTAATAAATCAATAAATGAATAAACGAATAAATGAATAAATGAATAAATGAATAAATGAATAATTGAATAATTGAATACAAATTTGATTGCTTAAAGGAACAATTCACCAATTTGATTGCTTAAAGGAACAATTCTCAAATTTGATTGCTTAAAGGAACAATTCTCAAACTTGATTGCTTAAGTTTACTTAAATTAATGTGATTTATCCTGATCTCATCAACATTCGACATTGTATGAAAGGATAGAAATTAAATATAATACAAGTTTTGTAAAAAAAACATTTTATCATGAAGGAGCTGAGAACTCTCACATAAGAAAATGAACGAACCTTTGAAAAAACATGGATTCTTTAAATAGGGAATTTTCTAAAGTAAGGAAAATAAATTTTTATCTAAAATTACTTTAATCAAGATGAAAGACTATTCAAAATTAGATTCATCTTTGCCCTAGATATATACTTGGGGAAATATCTTAATTCAGAATTCTGAAAAATGTAAGTACTTAATCCTCTTATGTTGAAATTTGGATGCATTCAGAGCAAATTTATTTTCCTGATTTCATTTTAAAAGTTGAACACAGTTTACATTGTATTTTCATGTGTTCGCTCTAACTTATTTTGAAATGAAGGACAGTTTAAAGTTCAAAATAAACTATATGTATTCAAATATCCGTCTGGAAAGAATAAGTACAGAAACGTTAAAATCTCTTAAAAATATATCTGCGAACACAAGCTAAATCTTTTGGAAAGATGTTTGTGACAGTATTTAAAAAAAGTTGTTTTTTCATAAAATAAAATAATTATTTCAGACAAAATCCAATTAGATTCCACCATGTATTGATAATTTTCTCACCTGGAGGGGGCGCTGGTAAATGTCTTCTTTCCTCACTATACTCAAGTAACAAAATATTGTTATAAAAGGAAAATTTAGAAACCAATGAAATGAAATCCAATTTTTCCCGACATCTTTTTGTTTTTGTTTTTAGAGTTCTGTATAGCTGGACTTTTAACTCAGAAACATTAACTTTAAGAAATTTGATTTAGAAAATGTTATTTTCTTCTGTCTTTTGTCTCTCTGGAGGGGCAGGAACCCACCTCCCCCCTCCCCCAACCCATTCCGCACTGGTATCCCCATAAGTGGAGGGGGTGGCTTCCTCCCCTCCTCCTGGTCATTCTAGACTTTTAAATAATTTAACAAGTTTTGTAACATTTTCCTCAAAGAATAGAGTTGACTTGAATCCTCCCAATCCGCCTCTACGGCGGGGAGGCGGGGCCGTTTCCTCCCGCCCTTTCGTCGGCCAACCATCCCATCTAGATCCTCGTCCCCTCGTAGAATAGATTCTAGGGTCTGCTCACTACAAAATAAATAAATTCTAAATTCTTAATAATTATCAAAAAGTATCTCCAAGATTTATAAAAATTCTGTAAAGGCATGTTCATCCTTAATTTCTTAATTCTTTTAAGGAATGTCGTCATTATTATAGACTGTATCTGAACTATGTCATATTACACGAAAAGCGACGACCCAAAGTATTTCTAAAAATGTCGTCATTATCATTACTTGAGAAATTTTTCAAGCGTGTCTTTTATTTGTATATAAATAAAGACACGGTCAATTTTAAAACCGTAAGTCTATTTTCTATGTTTCTCGCGACCTGGGTACTAATTAGTACACCACATTAAGTTTATAAGCATTGATTCCGTACCTAAACTAATGTGATATATACAATATATATTTTGTAAAACTAAATTCTAAACGTCGTCTTTCATCACAAATATAATTCTCGATTCCCGGCAACCATAAACATAATTCTTTCTTTGCCAAATTATTAAATTAACCATTTAAAGCCCTCAATCAAGGCGGAAGACTTAATTTAGACTAGGGATAGTCATGTATTAAGAGTTTCAAGTCGTCGTTACAGTTTCATCCTTTAATTGTGGCAGATTTCAAAGCCATAATAGTTCTGTAACATTATAACGGATAGCTTTAAAAACGAAAGAACAAAGTTTACAGTTGCTGAGAACTGGGAATCATACAGACAGTAAAAATTTCAATCTATCGTCTCTGAAATCTCATCTTCTCTGGGTAACCATGTATTTAAAATTAGGGTCAAGGTTTAAATGCAACATATACATGATCATCAGGCAAACGAATGTTTTGAAAAATAAACCATGACAAATTGTTTGCAGAGCTTATATTAAAGAAACGTGAGAAGAGATGGTTGTATCCTATCCTTAACTCTATCTACAGGGTGTCTCAACCCAATCCAATAAACATAGGAGGTAAGATTAAAATTCGTCTTGGTGAATTGATAAATGCTATTAGGCGTTTCAACTGAAGGTTGACCGTCTTTTGAGCTTTCCTAATCGTGGTCTAACTTTATTGTATCTTAAAAATTGATAGAGATTGAAATAATGTTTTTGTAGAAAATTTTCTCATACCTCATAATAGGTAAAACTGCTTCAATCTTGTTAACCAAGGTATGTTGCATAGCTTAACCCTGAACAGGCTGGGGTATATTGGCGCTTCCCCCCCCCGTTATTTTTTCCCCCAGCACTTTTACTTTCAATATAATTTACTATGGGGTAAGGAGAGTACAGAACGGTAGATTATTTTTTATAAAATAGCCCATAGCTTTTTTGTTATTCAAGCTCCAGATCTAAAATTTATAATTATGACAATCTTTTTAAAACAATCTTTTTAATGAGCCAGCCTTGAAAAATTAGGCTATGCACATTTATTTTAACCTCATACTTTTACTCTCAGGCTTTTCATTACACATAAATTCATTTGATTTCAAGGTCGTGATATAATTCCTATGTTTATTTGGACATCTTGTACTCTGTGGTGGTTAAGAAACATGTGTAATAAATCAGGGTTTAAACTCTGTCAAATTCCAAGGCAATGTTTGATTTATAAGTGTGTTGTTCTTTAGTAATTGGTCTGGAGAAACACACTCTATCTTTCAGACAGAGCTTAGGATCCGGATCCGTTGAATCCGCAAAATTTTGGCTTCCTGGATCCGGATCCGGATCCGCAAAAATATGCGGATCCACGGATTCGGATCCAAGGGGCCCAATATCAAGCAAAAAGTGCAAATTCCTTATTTCTGAATGGTTCATCAAATTTGAACATAAAATTGAGCGAAAAAATAAGACAAAAAATTTGAAAACTCTGCTCTGTTAAAAAAGTTCTGTATATCTTAAAGAAATGATCTGGATCCAGATCCGGATCCATTTTTAAATGGATCCTAAGCACTGCTTACAGGGTTACCCACAATGATGAGACATCAGAGACGTCTGTTCTGAATTTTATCAACCTTTCTGGTTAATTTTGTACAAATAGAATAGAATTTGAATGGCGAAATTACGAACAGAAGGTTAAAGATTAAAAAACAATTAATTTACATGTTCTTCTGGTAATATATTGCACGATCAAAATGTTATTTTTTTTAACAGACCTAAAGAAAAAGAATCTACATTTTTGCTATTTTTAACCGTGTGTTTCATAAAGAATCAAATTTATGATGCCGAGTTTAAAACTGCTGATGCTGAGTCTAAAACTTCTGATGCTGAGTCTAAAACTTATGATGCAGAGCCTAAAGTTTATGATGCTGAGTCTAAAATTTATTATGTTGAGTCTAAAACTTATGATGCAGAGCCTAAAGTTTATGATGCTGAGTCTAAAACTTATGATGCTGAGCCTAAAACTTATGATGCTGAGTCTATAACTTATGATGCTGAGCCTAAAACTAAAAATGCGCTAAATAGATTAAAATTACTGAAAAATAATTGAGTTAGGTTTTAATTAAACTTAAACTCAGACTCATATATTAAACCATAGTAAGGGGTTTATCAATACGCAAACACTATACGTCATATCGCAAAGAATCATCATCAATTTCAAGAAGATGAGGAGAAACAACCAAAACCCTTTTAGATAATACTAGATTAAAAGACTGATAGGAGACGACAATCAATAAAGGAATTGACTTCTTGCCACAAACTCAAATTTTCTAATTTTTATATCTTGGCAACCTAATGGTGTAAACCTTTGATATTTCAAACTTAGATCACTTGAACTAACACAATTCATAGTTTGAAATATCTAAGTTCTATGACATTGGGTTCTAAAGATAAAGGGATTAAAAATCTGAGTTTGTGGCAAAGAATCAATTCCTTTGTGTTTTTAGTGTATACCCTGCCTAGTTATGAAAATTGTGAGAATTCAGAGGTCTAATATTACAATAAAGCAAATTCAAAATCAAATTTAAATTGAAATAAAATCTAAATTGAGATGTATCTTTTATCCTAGAAATACCCTGCAGTATCTACAATTCATATCCATGGATTAGATAGTTAGGACAGGATATATAAGCACTGTAACATTTTGGTAGCAATACCGAACTTATTGAAATAATTAGTTGTGAGGCATCCCTAATAATCTGTTATAATTTTAAACAAAATTTTCAAAATTTTGAAATGAGATATTGTTATAGTTGAACTAGTATCTCTTTATGAATACCATTGATAGAGCAAGAGATATCATAGTTGTAGAACTTAATATCTCTTAATGGATAGTATTGAAAGAACAAGAGATATTAAAGTTATAGAACTTATCCCTTTCTGGATAACAGAGATAAAACAAGAGAAATTAAAGTTATAGAACTTATCCCTTTCTGGATAACAGAGATAAAACAAGATTTATTAAAGTTATAGAACCTATCCCTTTCTGGATAACAGAGATAGAATAAGAGATATTAAAGTTATAGAACCTATCCCTTTCTGGATAACAGAGATAGAACATGAGATATTAAAGTTATAGAACTTATCCCTTTCTGGATAAAGAGATATAACAGGAGATATTAAAGTTGTAGAAGTTGTTATTCCTTTTTATGGATAACAAACTTATTATCCCTTTATGGATAGAAGAGATATAAGATATAGTTGTTTCAGAACTTTAAAGATATAAGAAGAGAGATGAAGATATTACAAGATATATTATAATTATATCAAGGTTACAGTTATCTCTCAGTCTCTTGTATAATCAGTAAAATCTATGGTTGAAGAGAGACGAAGATATTACAAGATGAATTATAATTATATCAAGGTTACAGTTATCTCTCAGTCTCTTGTATAATCAGTAAAATCTATGGTTGAAGAGAGATGAAGATATTACAAGAAATATTTTAGTTATATCAAGGTTACAGATAAAACATCTCTCCGTCTCTTGAACAATCAGTAAAATCTATGGTTTAGCATATAAAGCTGAGTTCAATGATGCATGTTTTCAAACAATTTCAGCTCTGAGAAGATTTCATTCTTATTTATAAAACATGGAAAGTACAATAGAATAAAATATGTTTACTTTAACTTGTCATTTAGACATATGGTTTAAACACAGAGTAGATACAAGTAGAGGAGTATTGAGACATGTGGTTAAAACACAGAGTAGATAGAAGTAAGGGAGTATTGAGAAATGTGGTTTAAACACAGAGTAGATACAAGAAGAGGAGTATTAAGAAATATGGTTTAAACACAGAGTAGATAGAAGTAGAGGAGTATTTAGACATATGGTTTAAACACAGAGTAGATAGAAGTAGAGGAGTATTAAGACATATGGTTTAAACACAGAGTAGAAAGAAGTAGAGGAGTATTGAGAAATATGGTTAAACACAGAGTAGATAGAAGTAGAGGAGTATTCAGAAATGTGGTTTAAACACAGAGTAGAAATAAGTATAGGAGTATTGAGACATATGGTATAAACGCAAAGTAGATACAAGTACAGAAGTATTAAGACATGTTCTAAACACAGAGTAAACGCAAAGTAGATACAAGTACAGAAGTATTAAGACATGTTCTAAACACAGAGTAGATAGAAGTAGAGAAGTATTGAGACATGGTTTATACACAGAATAGATAGAAGTAGAGAAGTATTGAGACATGGTTTAAACACAGAGTAGATAGAAGTAGAGAAGTATTGAGATATGGTTTAAACACAGAGTATGTAGAAGTAGAGAAGTATTGAGACATGGTTTAAACTTATTCTATCATATTCTATGGATATTGTATTAAATATACATAGTTATAAAGACTAGGGTTTCCGATTAACAACAGTACTTATTAAATCCTTAGCTGAGTAACAATGCGGAAGATTCTATCTTAAAAAGTGTATAATTCTTACAAATTCCTTTTCAATTTATCTAAAGCATAAAATTTTAAATCCGCAAGTCACTTTACAAAAGAATCCACGGCTTAAATTAATCAAGTTTGAGCGACAAAAGGATGTTCTATGACAAAGGTTAAAAGAGTACATGGTTGTGAGTTGAACATTCCATTTTTTTCGGATGGTACTTGAAAATAGGTGTACAGTCCCTTTAAAAGTGTAAAGTGTGCACATGATTGTTTGATTTGTGGACTAATTGAAATATCCCTGGTATCTCCGTGGTTTGAGCAAGGTTAGGTTAACATAGCATACACCTAGACCATATGTGATCTTAATTTCAGACATTATCCGCGTACCATATATATACACTTTAATAGATTTATCAAACGTAGGGGGAGTTGAGGTGGGGGTTAGACAATGAACCATTTTGTATAATAGTCATGTAATTTCTAACTTCAAACTATAATGTTCTTTTAGACGGACTTCATTTATTTTATTTTCCTGCAAAAATCGATTCGATTTTTTATTTTTCTAAGTTCTTCTTAAAAACAAAGGATAAAACGAAAACTAAACACATGTCCAGTTTCTAAAATGCACATGTCCAGGGCTACAAATTAGACGTGAGTAAGTTATGTAAAGTGAATGGTGTTGCGACCTAGTCTTGAAAATAAATACGACTTTTCATGGCAGTGTAATTATTTTTAAGTTTTTGTCTAGATCGAAATTCGATAACTTACTTACTAAATTACTAAATACAGAGAGAAGCAGAAAATTGTGGAATTTAAAAAAAAGTAAAATGAAGAGCAGGTAGAGAAGACTGGTTTATTATGGGAAATATACCTGTTGTACCCGAAGGTAGTGAAGAGTGGTTTATTATGGGAAATAATTACAGAATCATCTACAGAGTCATCTAGCGGCAACGGAACGAACCTCTAAATACAAATTTTTTTTTTCTTTTTTTCTTTCCAACCTTCATTTCCTTCATTTCCCGAGAAATGGGAAAGGATGTTTTGTAGGCCAAATTGGTCGAGGACATTATCAGTTTTTCAAAAAATATCCGATTTAATTGTTTTCAGTATATTCGAATATTTTCACAAAAACTACGCAAATTGCAATTCCTAGTTTATTATTTGAGTTAGGCAACATAAAGTTGAGAAACAGTATGAATTTGTATAATGATAATTATCAAGATTCTGTTTGATAATAATTGTTTCCGCATAATTGTTTTTTTGGTGTGATTCTTCAAATGAGATTGGGCATCACTTTTTGGTTTAATTTTTTTATCTTTAAGGAGTATAACAAAAATCTGAGATGTTTGTTTAAACCTGCCCAAATATTTTGAGTAAATATTTTTTAAGTGTAAGCAAAAGTAGGACATATAATTTTGAAATTATAAAAAATAAATAATTTAGATTTTTACGGAGCCTCTTGCTATAAGGCCACACTTAAATGTTCAAAACGAACATTAGTATAAGCCTTGACTTACCCTCTTTACTCGATATGTCTCCTGCTTTTTATGGAAAAGCCCAGGCAAACGGAAAAGGGCAAACGGGGACATTTCTCTTCTCAATTATTCAATCATAGCATAATTTCTGAAAATATTGTTAACAAATAAATACATTACGAATATTTAAAGGACTTTGAATTTGGAAGTTCATGTGGTTACAATCGATCATATACAGGGTTACCCACTAAGGATGAGGTTGTATAGACGACCTGTAACTAACCAATGGTAAAATGAATTCTTCTGCCGTGAATATATTTTTTATTGGATTATTATATGATTTAGCAAAGAAAGGAACAATTTTACAGTTGCAGGGAATCATGAATAGGAAACAGACAGTTGTCCCTGACGTCTCATCCTTGGCGGGTAACCCTGTATTTTCACGTAAAAAAAACAGCATTATATGTTTGAATTTTTAAGGGTAACGTTTCTTTTGATGGAAAACAGAAGTCTCATTATTTTAAATGCAATCCTATTGTAGTAAACAACTTGATTTGATTTTAAATTCAAGAATATTTTCGTTTTTGAAACAGTTTTGAGTTTTTTATCTTTGAAAGATTCATTTTTGTGTCAGAACGATAATATTGCTAGCTTTTTATTTCTGAAGAAATGACTTTTAATTCTGTCAAATTGTCGATAAAAGCAAAAACATACAAATATTCAAATTTCTGTTTTTGTTTGCAAAATTGACAAATATTGAAACTGAAAATGTTTTGAAAGAAAATTTAAATTTCTAACTTTTTAGGAGGAAAATGTTGGTTTTAAAATTTTTGTCACATTTCAAAATTGACGTTTTATTTAATTATAAACAAATTAAAACTACTTTTACAAATGCTCAAAAGGTATAATGTCAATTCTTAGGGATAAAAGTTTAATAAATTTGTTAGATTAGTTTTCAACCAAAAAGCGTATGCGGTGTATTCTATCTCTTTACGCACATTTTTGAAAACATTTGCTTATTTTATTTTATGCCAAATTTTGAGCCTAAAAAAATATATGTAAAAAAAACTAGCCCAGTGAATGTGAACAATAAAATATTATTATGATTGGTTTAGCCCTAAATCATATGTTATTAAAGCAGGACATTGTTCTTTAACTAAGTGACCTATAATGTGCAATGTCATAATGGCAAATTATTGAGTCGATTTTTCTCATTTGTATCTTTCCTATAATAGACCCAATTAGAAATTTCTACGCAGTTTATCATCCAATGTTGATAAAGTTAAACCCAAGAAATTTGGTTGAAATATGTTAATATGGTAAAAAAAAATTTAATTTTTAAAGTTAAAGATTTTCAGGTCTATTTACATGGATTGTTTCTTCCTTCCATCTCTTGTCCACTTTTCAAAATGATTTTTTTTTTGCTTCGTTAGATATTTGAATCAAATATATCTTCTGTTATGTTAGATTTTGTTAAACTTCTTTGATTTCTGGTGGGCCCACAAACTGTTTCAGAATGGTAAAAAAGTAAAGTTCTTTTACCATATTGATCAGAGAAGTGTATGTTGGTTTTATTTGCAATCATACCCTTTACCGTAAACAGTATATAGATATATACATTACCCAGGCGGGAGGAAACTTTAACCATTCAGAAAACCCCGGTTTAGATAAATTACATTAAATGGAATTTAGTTGCAATCTCAAGCAAACCTCCAGTTAAAGATGTTCTTGCCTGATTTACAACGGTTTTCTTTAACTTCTTTTCTATCAATAATGTGGAAGATGTCATCGTTTTATAGTTTGAAAAGTGTTTAATTCCTACAATTTCTATATTTTCTTGAATGAAAAAATTACGCAGGCCACTTTTACAGAGCTAAATAACATATAGATAACAAAAAAAATCAAACGGATTTAAACAGGATTTAAAACTCAGTTTTGTAAATTAAAACAATCTAAAGTTTCCTACCAATGTTTAGCTAATATACAGATTGCACATCTTTACTGCCCTTGAGAGAGATCAGATCATCATTAAAAAACTTATTTAATTAGGTTTATCTGTAGTTAGTATTTTTAATATATATACTTTTAGCATAGTAGACTTACAGTCTGTTTAGCTCCCCTCTTTCTAGGAAATATTTTAGCTTTTATCTTAAACTTTAATTGCAATTATTGGTTTTCGCACAGAATTTGGGATGTGTCAAGTTTTATTTTAAACTTGAAAACTTTAGTTTTAAAGAGATTTTAGTTGTTTATAATACAGGCTCATCCTTTGTGGGTAACCCTGTATATTACTAGCTTGGGAACCCAGCTTCCCCTGGACCTAAACTTTCTCTATAAATGTCAACCTACTCATTTTAAATTTGCTTAAAGTTATGATCGGACATCCACACAAAATAACAATTTTTATTACTTTATAAAAATAACAATACTTACTAATTTATACTTATCTATATTCATAAAGTAGTAATTTATGTTTGTCTGTTTATATGATCATAACTCATGGTCTTAGCTTGGTTTTACATAGTTCAGTGGCTCAACTTTTATATTAAAAAATCCGGACAAAGCTGGGTTACCAAACTATAAATATATATTTTGATAATTCAGTGCAATAATTTCAAGTTTTGCATTTGAAATTGTAAAATTGTAAAATGCAACTATAATGACTGATGATAGCTCTAATAAGAGCGTTTTTGGGGCCCCGTATAATAGCTGTTATTATCTTAAAAAGGTAGGTTCTGTATGCTCATTCTCTCTCTCCCACCTCATCATCTTTACTCCCTGTTTTCCCGGTATTATAGATGTTTACCAACTAATTATAATTAATAATTAAGAGAGCCACGAGGGAATTGGGGGTTCATCTCTACAATCGTATTTTTTTTTCTCGTAATTCTAAATATCACAAAAAAAGAGAAAATATTGCAAAGATTGAAAAGCTAACTATAAACAAAGGAATTGAGATTTTCTCAAAACCTTAAATTTTTAAATCCCTATATCTTTGGAACCTGATGGATTATTTGATCTAACAGTATACTTAGTTTGATATAATTTAGGTCTAAGACATTGGGTTGCAAAGATATAGGAATTGGAAAATCAGAGTTAGTGACAAAGACTCAATTCCGTTGCGTACCAATCATATTTTTTTTAGAAAAATTAAAAAGAATTTTAATCGCAAAGTTTACATTATATTAAAATAAATCACTTAATTATACTCCAGATGTACGTCTCAAAACCCCAGCTTCTAATTTTTATTTATCAATTTGATTTAATGCACCTTATATAATAAAACTATTCTAATTTTAATTCAATTTAAATAATGTTAATTTCTATTATTCACAGTTTTCCTTAATTACAGTATTTTCTGCAATTATAATAATTGAAAAGTTCTACCGGTGGAGGAGGGTGGTTGGGCCACGAATATCTGAATCCAGAATTAAACTTTTTCTGGTACACCCTGTATCCAGGGTTTATCTAGAATACACCCAACATCCCGGATATATCCAGGATAGACCCTATATCCAGGATATATCTATGATACACCCTGTATCCAGGATATATCTCGGATACATCATGTATCCCGGATATATCTAGAATACACCCTGCATCCCGGATATATCTAGGACACCCTGAAAGAATGAATCTATATCTGATGATCCATCATATTTCTAAACCCTAGATAATCCTAAGGATAAAATTATATCTTCAGCTCCGTTAGTTCTATCCATGAACCCTAGGAGTAGGACTGAACCAAAAAAAACAATCTTATTTTTACATCGGGGTTACCATGATGTTTTTTGTCTTTATAACACCGTAAACATTCAACTTGTTACAACATGATAATTTGTAATTACTATGCAGGAAATTATTTTGAAATGAAATCTGTTATATCTCATTTAAAGACCGGGAACCACTCACGGTAAGCAAGAGGTCCTGGTTAAAAGGACTGTGAGCGTAATTTCAAGTGACCAAATCAATGCAAAAATGACAAATAACAATGCTAAATTTATAACGGTGTGTAGTAAATGCCGTACTCTTAAAACTTCGTTCCAAACTGTATCAGTCCAGGTACAACCCCTCCCGTATCAAAGTCATGTATTATGCGTTGTTAAAAAGTCAAAATTGTCATTCATTCATTAAATTCTTGAATTTGATTTTATGTATTTCGTAAAAAGTGGTAAGATATGTAAATCAATGAAATTGAGTCTTTGTCATAAACTACTTCCTATTTCTCTGTGATTTTAATCTTCCCTTTATCTTTGCAACCCAATGTCGAAGACTTTGAATTCTGTTAGATCAAATAACCCATTTTTTAAAAATATCAAAGGTTAACACCATCAGTTTGCAAAGATTATAGATATTAGAAAACTGTGGGGGAGAAACACGTCATTTAGACAATAATTAAGTGTATTTTAAAATGCAAATCGTTTTACTATTAACTTATTAACTAAACTGGGATTGTTTACACTGTACAACTTCTGTGTCTCATGTTAAATGAACTATAATTTGAGCCTAAAAGTCGTCTTCTTATCCAAGAATTCTTTGATTATTACTGTACATAAACATTAAGCTTTCTATTACAATTAAAAGTTCCTGGCTCTCTTTGACCCAATTTATACTTTTTTGTTGCAAATAATTAGAGCACACATTTATAAGTTTGCGGATTTGCAGATTTGCAGATTTGTGGATGACATGGCAAATTAGAAAACCTTGCTTCGTTATCTCCTTTGTTAATTTCAAAGAAGTACAAATTGCAGAATTTATTAAAAAATAAGTATTTATATTTTATAATATTATAATTATTATAATCCTCTCGTTTTTATTTTACGCACAAGCATTTGGGAAAATAACTTTTTTGCTTCCATATTAGAAAGGAATTGAGTCTTTGCCACAAACTCTGATTTTCTAATCTTTTCAACCCAACGTCGTAGACCTTCCACACGCACCTCTGGCCCATTAGTAAAAGTAAATTCAACCTATATGAAACATAAAGTCTGACCGCGTCAACCTTGTTGCACAGGCTAGTCTTATCCATTTAGCTAGGTAGTAGGTACAGTGCAAACTGGGACCGGAAAGTTTGACCCGGCTCGGAGATTCAAATGTACTACGGCTGCCCGTGTCCAGCTATTACTTCCGTGTTATCAAATAGT